ATAAAACTAATTACTGAATGAGCCACTTTCTATATTATTAAGCCACTACTAAACAGTCATGTATAGTTGACCGAATAAGCTGTGAGTCCCATTAACCTCATTAAGATGCTAACAAACAGACCCAAATCTAAATCTCAGTCAGCAGCATTTGCCGGTCAGAGTGTATGGTTGCTATGGTAAACCACCTCACCTCTTACCCAGTAAGAGGTGGTCAAAAGTAACTAAACAAGTAAACGTACCTCTGACTGAAAAATGATGCTGACTCGGTAAGGCAGGAAAAACTCTCTTACTCAGTCAGAGACCGAACCTCTTACCCAGACCGCATTCTTATCCTGTTAATACTTACCTATTTTGTGTTGATAAACGACTCCTAAAGTCACAATTTATATAGATGATGGTGAAAAGGTCTTCACAACGTTCGTTCAGTTCAAACTTCAAATTAATATAGCTGGTTCTAGTTCAAAACAAGATTTCTAATTCAGTATGAATTGCGGATACATGATACAAATTGAAACTTTAAGTAGAAATGAACTTACTTGATACGAGCCATTGGCGCACAGGACTCTGAGCCGTTTCAATTCCATAAATTCCATCTTGACGTGTGCACCAGAAAGCTCAATGACACCAATTGGATCAACATCAACAACCCACAATCAAGAAAATCAAGATTAGTGAATAAGGGTATGTTTGTTAGCAGCTTAATGAGCTTAATGAGACTCACAACTTACACGGTCAGCTATAGATTAACTGTTTGGTAGTAGCTTAATGATTAAGCTATAGAAAGTGGATTATTCAGTAAGCTTCTAGGGGGGAGCTTTATGCAGAAAGCCAAGTTTTTTTTCTCCAAACCTGTCCCTCCCAGAATATGCTCCTTCCATCTATGAACCCCCCCCCCCCAAACAAACAAAAACTTCCCAGTCTATATAGACAGATTAATCCACACAAACAGCTTCATCAATACAGGACTTAATGGGAAAACCAACCAAATCACAATCATATGTACCGATGAGAAGCTTGATGACCGGAAAGGCTGCCCTTTACACGAAGCTAAAGCCTGCAGCACTCTTTTTGCGCCGCAAAAAATATTAAAACTGTTTCCAGATGCCATCTTTCAAAGATAACCCAAAACATTTACCATCAAATTGTTTATAGTTCACTGAATCAGTAATGTGTCTTACGGTTCAGACCAGGGTAAATATGTTCTATTCAGACCCATAAAATAGATTTCAAAGGAACACAAAGAGGTAAAATCCTCTGTGACAAAAGCTTCTTTCTATACACTCTTTACGTCCAGCCAAATATGCAAATATATGTCCACACCAGAAAGAAGGGCTTTTGAGACAGTCTGGATGATTTTCCGTGAGGGTTACCGGCAGACCAACACATGTTTATAGGGGGTGATGTCAACGAACATATGGTGGTAGGGGCAGAGGGATACCAACGAGCCCATGGGGGTTTTGGTCACGACTCAAGAGGGATGGAGGTTGTAAATGCGGGATTCAGAATAGCGGACGACCTGGTGATGGTATCAAACTCTTGCTTTAAAAATCAAGAGGACAACCTCATTATCTTTCAAAGTTGTGCGGGGAGGGGATTGCACCTAGGGGTGTAAATGATTCGAGCTTTTAACAAGCTATTCGAGCTCGTTTATCTTGAGCTCGAGCTTAATAATTCTCGAGCTCGAGCTTAATAATTCTCGAGCTCGAACTTAATAATTCTCGAGCTCGAGTCGATCTCGAACACAAAATAAAGCTCGTTTAACTAATGAGCGGAGCTTCATAACACTAATGTTTGAACTCGGCTCGTTTCAAAATTCGATTAAATTTTTCGAGTCGAGCCGGGGCAAGCCGTTTGAGCATACACTTTTTCAAGCCAAACATGCTCATATATTCATTAATCATACAATAAAAATATAAAAAATTATCGAGATTAAGTTGATAAACGAGTTAATTGATAGCGAGTTCGAACCCATAAACGGGCATCGAGCTCGATAATTCAAAAAATATTTGATCTGGAGCTGGAGCGCTACATTGAAAAAGTTAACCTACTACTTGACTCAACCCGTTTACACCCCTGACGCTAAGCCCATTACTCTTCGTTATGATTTTGGATGTGATTCACATAGAATCTCGAGGAATATCCCATGGTGTATGGTATTGGTCGATGACATAGCACTGGTAGCATAGACGAGGAGAGAGTTTTATGATAAGCTAGAGCAACGAAAGGTGACTTTAGAAACACAAGGCCCGTATTAGTCGCTTTAAGACTAAATACCTATAGTACAATTTCAACAAGGAGCGTGATGACAAGGAGGTAGAAGTCGCCATTGATGAAGAAAGGGTAACCAAGAACGTCAAAAATAGGTTCTTTCTATTGGATAGTCGAATTAAACCGCACGGAAGCATTCTCGAACACTATCCAACAAAAGGACAATTTCAAGTATCTGGGCTTAATGTTTCAGAAGAAGGGTGAGGTCGACGATGGTATGACATACCACATAAAGCTAGGATGGGCAAAGCAGGGATTTGCCACGGGAGTGTTATGTGACAATAAGGTAGCGCTAAAACTATGAGATAAATTCTATAGGTAGCTATCAGACCAACCATGCTATAAGGGTCTGAGTGGTGGGCGATGTAGAAGGTGCATGTCTGCAACATCCGAAGCCAATCGTAGATATTGTCTGCTTTGTCCACACACCTGGACTGGACTCACGGTTTTAAAGTGCGTCTAGCAGAGAAGGTATCCAGTCCCTTATAAGGCAACCTTAGTTCCCCTCCCCAACCAATGTGGGATCTTACAATCCACCCCCTTGGGAGCCTAGCGTCCTCGCTGGCACACTAGTCAAGTTCCTCTGATACCATCTGTAACGTCCCATCCCAGGCCAACCGTACCAAATATTATCTGTTTTGTCCACACATTTGGACTCATGATTCTAAAGCGCGTTTGGTAGAGGAGGTATCCAATCCCTTATAAGACAACGTTAGTTCCCCTCCCCAAACAATGTGGGATCTTACAATAATTATTAGAAGGGAAGTTGGAAGTGTCAGAACTGAGGATGTTGAAATAGACCTATGGTCGGAGCATGTAGAATAGGATGCATAATGAGGTCTTTCGGACCGAGTTTGGAGTTGCACCTCTCATATATAGATTGAGAGAGGAAAGATTGTGATGAATTGGGCACGTTAGTAGGAGACAAATAATGGTGCTGGCGAGGAGGGTCAAGAGTGTTATCGTCGAGGGGGTGAGAAAGGGCAAGTTGAGGAAGACATGAGATGAGCAGTTGAGGTTGGCATGACAACCTTAGATATTTCCGAGGACATTTCTTGGAGGGAGTGGTAGAGAAAGAGTAGTCAAGTGTGCCATAGATGTAGTTTTCTAAGAGTGAACATCTTCGCTTACTCTCCTTACCAAAAAAAAATTCATAGAACTTTTTCACTAATTTTCTCATACGTTGGGGGCCTTCATGGAAACAACCTCTCAACCCCTTGAGATAGAAGTAAGGTCTACTTATTCCTACCCCTAGATGTTATTTTCGAGTGGAATATAACGGGCACGTATGGTTTGCTTTTATGTTCATGCAACAATTTTACAGGTTTCCCATCTAGGATTGTTCCTAATTCCTAAAATTTGTAGTTTCAATATTCGTAAAAAAGAACATACATTTCCATCGGTCAAGTATGCAATTTTCAAGAATATTGTATTGCTTTGACTCTGTATCAAGCATCACTGATCAGCATCAAGCAGTTTCATTAATTGAACATCTATCGAGCATCGTCTTCAACCTAAGTTTATCAAAGCAGAAAGATCTCAGAAAACCCAAAAAAAATAGAGAACCAAAATAATTGAGAAAAAGACCAAGAAAACACACAATGACAGTTTAGATCTATTTGAAATAACATAGTTATGATAAACATTGTGCTCATTACTATATTCAATATAAATGTACTTGCCCATAAATTTTCTCCTCCAAAATCCCTAGAAATGGATGTTGAACTCGATATTGAGTCGTTATCTACAATAATGCCCAATATTTTGAAGGTTTCTCCAAAAAAAAATCTGCTCTACTTGCTTTTAGGTGGTTGCAGTAGAGATGGACCTAGAAATTTTCCAAATGAGGACACCATTTGACTATGAAAAACAAAGCTATACCTTTTACAAAATCTATAAGTACGTATAGGAGGTTTACCCACCAACTACTAACAAAAAAAAGGATTCCCCCTAATTAACCCTTCTCTTATACGTACGCATAGGAGGTTTACTAGATAAGGAACGGCCCACTTGACCACTAGCCCAAGCCCAATTCTAAATATGAATACTTTAAATACGAATCCTATTAGGATAAGAAGTCAGGCAAGAATTATATTTTTGAATAGATAGTATTCGGATGTGAAAGCTTGGGCAGGAGGAAAGGCCGTTCATTGGCTTCCTTTTGATTTTGTCATCCCAATCTTTTTAATTCAATAATCAAATAGCTTAATCCTTTGATTTAGTTTGTTGTATCGATTATTCCGTTATCATTCTTATAATAGAGTTGAGACATGGGAGAAGCTCTTGAGAAGATGGAAACAGAGAGAGAGGGGAATGATGTTTATTGTTATCTCTATGGGAAAACATAGAAATGATGTTTATTGTTATCCTAATGCAGATTACACTTTTTCCTTTTATAGAGAAAACAAAGCCAATCTTGTGTTTGAAGTCGCATAACCATATTTTCAATTCGTAAAAAATAGAACAACCAACTACTAAAAGATCTATTTTTATAAGTGTTTGAAGTAATAAACTGACCAGGACTGCCGTTCGTAAAGAAAACTTCCAAATCCGAGGATGGAGCTTTAGTAATCTGCAGGTTATATATGAATGATGGAAAGAAAGTGACAGCATCCATTCCACATCTATGAAACCTGCAAAACCATGGTCAGAAAGTTATATAATTGTTGCAACAAGGAACATAACCGTATTGCCAATATTCGTTTCTTTATACTGTAACCAACTCCAAGATAAAGCTGCAACCCATATTCCATTACCCATGAAATTATAAACAAAATGCTCATAAATCTAATTCATGCAGAACATGTTTCGAAGACAATGATACAGTCACATCAAGAAGAAGAAAAATACAAATAAATCCAAACACTTAGGATAACCCGCTTCCATAAAGCATGAAAAGATAGCAAAGTTGAATCTTGATGAGACCCTTTACATTGCATGACGATCAGATGCTTTTAAAGCTCTTCGAGCAGGGAAAGGCCAGCGTTTACCCATTGCAAAATCGAATCTTGATTTTTTCCTTTTACTGCACGTACTGCCTTCTTTGTCATATATAATTGTGTAGTTTGAGCTGCTTATGTCCCTAAAGTAACAGAATTTATCATCACCATAATTGTACATCTGTTGTGTACTCCCCAAACCACTAACCACTAAGTTTCCCTTCACAAGCATCGATCCCTGACCATTTTGTAAGTTTTCAAGAACGCTGGATGAAGATTTAGAACCTAAATCATCGATCTTTTTCTCATTGAAACCCAATGTAATATTTGCTATCTCAGAATAACTTCCCTTTCCTTTCTCCACTGTATCCGAGAATATGTAAAAGGAAAATGATTTTAAAGATTTCTTGGAAAGAACGGAAGATGGCATCTTGGCATACACACTGTCATTAAAATTAATCATCTGATTAACAATTTGTGAATCCCCATCTTTCCTCATCACCATGAAATTACTATAATCAAATTCTTGAGTTGATTCAGTTACTATCTTCCCAAACGAAGATTGTACCCACCCACTTGACTTTATGGACCTGTTAACCTTAGTAACGAAAGTTCCATTCAAACCCGTAAAATTAGATTCCAAAGAAACATGAAGAGGAGAAATCTTCTGCATCAAAAACTTCCCATTTGTCTTCTCACTCTTTCCATCCAACCACACATGTAAATTTGCATCTATGTACCAAACATTCAAAGCATTTCTTACCCTAAAAGCAAAATCATGGGATTCACCATCTAAAATCGATCCAAGAAATGGGGTGATCTCGATATCATACGAAGGGAGATCAAACGACCCAATGCCAGTAATCGGTCTCCACAATAAAGGATTAACACCTCCTGTATAAACTACCGTAAAAGGCCAAATTGCACCAACTACATTACCATCCAAACTTACCCCCACCTCCCTAAATGGTCCATTACCAGGAAAACCCGTCAAATTATTAGCAGAAATGTACTCATTAGGCACATTCGTAGGCCAAAACTCATCATTTTCATGAAACGATACGTAAACTTCAAGAAGAGCCCTATATGCATTTTGAGGAATCACAAACTTCTTTGACTTTACATCAGTGGAATTCTCAATTTCGAACCACAACCCATCGTCTAAAGGCAAGCTCCTTGAAATGGGTATAATCAAATCAGCCCATTGATTATGTAAATGATCTGAATTAACCGGCATTTTCATTTTCTTCTCAGCAGGATAAAAATGAACAGTAACATTCACATGGTAAACCCCAGTGTAAGTATCATCAACAATGTTTCCCAAATAAACAGCAAGTGTTTGCTTGTTCATAAGCAAAGAATGATACCTAGTAATGTCTTTCTTGACAGTCCAAACAATCCCAGTGGCTCTCGGCTCAGCTGTGCAGCTCCTGAGCAGCTCAACACCGCCGAGCCAAACCCCAAAAATCCGATCGAATTGGCGACCTTTACAAGTAGCTGTCCATTCAAGAACAATTTTGGCAAAATCATTTGATGGGTAATTCGCCGGTGGGGTATATTCTGCGAGAACTGGTGGACTCCCATAAGTGTATCCAAAATCATGCTGTAAAACAAGTTTTGAGTAGGGTTTTGTGTTTGGGAGTTGGATAGGTTTTGTTACTTCAAAGTAAGTGGTGGGTGAGATGTCATTAGTGGTGGTGGGATCAGAGGTGAGGCGTGGCCGGAAAATTGTGGATTTGGGAAGGGGTTTGCCGGCGGAGAGTAGAGAGAAAGAGAGGAGGAGGAAGAAGACGATGGAAGCCATGAGAATGGTGAAGATGGTGGTTGGAGAAAGTGTGAGATCTGTTAGTTCTTGTAGAGATGGAAAGGGGGAAAAACAATGTATTAGGGTTGGAGTGTAGTGTCAAAGATTTAAGAGGGAAAAAACAGTTGGATGAAATCAAGTTTCATTGTATATTTATTCTTATAAATGATTTTAGAGAAAATAGCACAAATTACCAAAATACAATGAGAAAGGTCTAAAAAAACTCAATGGACTTTAGTTTTTGGAATGATTAAGTCTTTGGATAATTTTTTGGAACAAATAAGTCTTTAAACATTCCAAAACATGTTAAACAACTTCTTGGACTTTCTAAAACTTGTTATATACATCTTTATGACCTATAAAACTAAGGGAAAAGTCTAAGGAAATGGTCATTTTTTAGACGACCTTTGCTAAAAACTTTCTTTAACCATAACGTTTGTCATACATAATGTTAGATCGTATGGCGAAACCCAGTTCGTTCTATTTTAGTGACAGGTTGACACGTGTCGTTTCGTCAATGGTGAATTCCTTCGACAATTTGGATGGTCATTTTGTACAAATTTAAAAATTAAAACTTGGGTTATGTTCTCACATCTATGTATTTTGGTCATTTTGAGAATTACCCCTAGTAGAAGGGCAATTTCGCTCAATTGTCCTGGTTTCGCAACCTTATTTGGCTGCGGCGCGTTGAGGCACTTCTTCGACGGTTCTCGTACGCCCGGCCTGCCGGCTCGCTCTGAAGAATTCATGGGTCGCTCAAGCGGGCGAGACAGAATGGGCGGGCATTGTTAACCAAGCCACCTAAACCAGAAGCAATTACAGATGCAATAACAGATTGTTTTCAAACAGACCCCTAAAATCCATTGCCATGGTCTATTATATGTAAAAAAACCTGAAGAGAGTCAAAAAGTGCATATTTGGATTTTGGAACACTTTTATGTTCTTCCTTCCAATTGCTAAAATGGCAGATGAAGGTTAGATTCATGTTTACATCAACATTTCACCTCTATGCAAATGAAAGAAAACCCACATCCATCAGTTTAGTTTAGTCTTGAAAGTTGACCAGAATCTCCATTCAGAAAGAAAACTTCCAACGGTTTATACGACGATGAACCATCCGTCGATCCAAATCTGTACGTCGGTTGCAGTATTTTGCTTCCTTTCGGGCATGGGACGGTCAGAATCCTCGGTCCCGTCCTCATCTGCCATATCTGTCAAGTTCTTTTTCAGTATATATTACATACGACAAAACTCACACACACTCTCTTCACCTTTTGTGAGATTTGAACCCATGACCTCCAACAAGGTTGGGATCTACTGGTAACCTACATACTGCGGGGATAATGACCCTTTGGTAAATCCGTCCACTTATGAGGCATAAAATCTGTGAACTTTATGCCTCGGTATTTGTAACACTAACGACCACATGAGATTGGAGAATGGCGTTTAAGAAGTTACCTCAACGATGCCCTTTCGAGGGGCATGAATGGCCAGACATAAGGAATAATCGTTCTTCACGTGTTCATGAGCTCCTGCAGTGTCTTTATTTACAAGTCTTTCCACAAAAAGGCAGCTAGCATCTCGATACCCCTGAAAGAGAAGAGTTTTTCATCTCAAAAGAACACATAAACGAGTTGTGTGGTACCTGGGTTACCAGTAGAGTCCAACCTCCTAGGTGGTCAAGGGGTTCAAACCTCACCAAAGTTGAGAAGTGGCTGTGAGTATTTTCTGTAATAAAAATATTACTTCCTCCGTCTCAAAACAAGTGTCCGCGATAGAAAAGGCACACAGTTTTAGACATGCATACTTATTACACTTTTTAGTTAACTAAATGACAACTTTACCTCGATTAATCTCTCTCTACCATTGTTAAACATGTGTGCATTAACAAAGGGTAGATTTGAGAACTTGGTTATCTATTTTAGAAATTAATATAAATAGAAATGTGGACATTTAATGGGAATATATATATATTTAAAAAGAACAAATTACAAGAGTGTACTTTATGTGTTAAGGAATACCTTCCATAAGCGTACGACCACAAGGGCTCGAGTGTCCAAGAGCATGATACGACCAAGTGAATCCGTTATTGCAGCCAAAGTCCCGCTAGGCGATAAGGTTAACTTCTCTCCCTTTCTTGGGTGATCTTTCAAACACGTCAGAGGCAAAGCTGTACGAGATTGCCACACCACAATATCAGCTATACCGACAACTTTTACAGGAGGGCTGTTTAGCTCAATGACCTTAAGAAGCTCGTTTTACATAATTACACACTAACATAGTTCTAAGCTTTCACGGGATCATGAACCAGGAGCAGATCAGATGATAGTCATTGAGCTAAAAAAATTTAGAAGGTCATGCTTCTAATTGAAAACTTATTTAAGGTCATTTATCCAAAGGACGCATAAAAACGCAGGTCCTAAAAACTAATTTGCTTGACGGGGAGGGATGAAATTTTCAACTGCCATACAAACCTGCGTGTGAAATGTTAGAATAAACCTCACCTCGTGCAAATGGTTGTGGCTTTGGTTCTGGCTTTTTTGTGGGTTGGTTGCTCCTCCATAGCAATTTGGAGAAAGAAGCGATGGTTGAAAATGTTGCAGGAAAAACCTTCGACATAATGGCTCCCACAAAGGACCTGCTTCGGTCTTCAGAAAGCCTTCAGGGAAAACAAAGCTAGTAAATCATTCCAACAAAATTGATCTATTTAAACCATCATCATGAACAAGTACATAAAGATACTCCTATGTAGAGATCATTTATGAAGGTGTTGTATAAAAAAACCGACGCTTACTAACTTAACCAAACCAAACTGACGCTGTAAATCCCAATTTGAAAGTAGGATTTAGGGTTGAAATGTATGCAGATCTGAAATCTATCCCAAAAGGGTAGAGCGGTTGTTTACGTGAAGACCCCCGGGCCCCGCTTATGCAAAAGTTGCGCAAACAGATAGAATGAATAAAGACCAAGTAAATTGTCCAAAATAGCCATTCTGGAACCCCCCCCCCCCAAAATTCACTTTATAGCCGCTTTTCTACTCAATTGACGAAATAGCCAAAATTTCGCAAGTAAAAATTCAGCAACTTGTGAAATCTACTTTTTATGAATTCAATATTCATGAACTAACACTTTCACAAGTTACTAAAGTGCTACTTGCAAAATGCTGACATGGAAGTGTCCCTTACGCAACTTGCTAAAATGTTACTTTCGAATATCAAATCCATAAAAAGTAGATTTGGCAAGTTGCTTAAGTGCTACTTGCGAAATCTTGGCTATTTTGGTCAATTGAATAGAAAAGCGGCTACAAAATGAATTAGGGGGTCTGGAATGGCCATTTTGGCAATTTCCATAATGACCAATATATGGTGTATTAAGCACTAAAAAGAAAAAGTAAGAAATATTAACGAGCATATACATTGAGAACGTACGATATTTACTAACCTGAATGCTGAAATTGCAGCATCGACTCCAATGGTGACAGCACAATAGTAGCGATCACTTGACTGCTCAACAATAAAAGCAGCTGAATTCAAATACCAGAATACCTTCAGAAACTCTCCAAAAGTCATCCGATAAAATGTTTGCAAGAAAAGTTATTTATTTGTACCTGTAGTTCCAGAAGAGGAGGCGGCATGACACCAGTTACAGCAGCATCAACACATGAACCATATTTACTAACGTTCCAAAGTTGGTAAGGAAGACGGGCGTAAGAATTTTCAGATTCTTCTAAATCTCGATCTGCTGATTGATCCCAAAACCGATTTTGAGTTTCCTGATACCATCGCTGCAATACCCTCTGCATGCCAACCACAATTTACTTCACCACAGTGGGACAAAAATGCATTTGGTACATAGAACAGGACAGGATGGGAAAGTACAAAAATTTGATGTCCCACGTTTGATGTGACATTAGACTAGGACATGACAAGAACCGAGAGGAACAAAAACTGCATTTTTTAGGGAAATTGTCCAAAATAGCCAATCAACCTCCCCTCTTCACTTTATAGCCACCTTTCCAACATTGTGACCAAAATAGCCAGAGACTACGCAACTTGCATAACCCACTTTTCCGATAAAATAATCAGAAAAATTAGACATTAAGCAAGTTGCGTAAGTGCTACTTGGGTAATGTCTAGGTGGCATGGCTATAGACAAGCCATGTAGACGTTACACAAGTAGCACTTATGGAACTTGCTTAATGTCTAATTTCCTTAATATAATAAGGAAAAATTGGGTTACGCAAGTTGCGTAATCTCCTGCTATTTCGGTCAATTTCTTGAAAAGGTGGGTATAAAGTGAAGAGGGGATACCTGTTTGGCTATAATTTGGACAATTTCCCCAATTTTTTATGTCCCACCAAAATAGGTGGAACAAAAATCGAGAAGATGGAACAAGATTGGTAAATTACTAAACTACCCATGTCAAATTAAAACCCTAAAACCTAACACAACTTCTTTCACCAGCCTAACTCACTCTCGTCCGTCTAGTCCAGTCTTTTCCCGTCCGGTATTTGCGCACCAACTGCAGCTTAAAAGATGTTGCAATCAATCCTCAAAGATAACATGACATACCTGAATGTCGGATCCATCAAAACGAGCAATTATGCCCGGTATAACTACACACACTTCCTCGAATGATGATGTATCTTCTGTAATATCCCGTTTAGTTCCACGGACTCTTAACCTTAGAATCCGTCCAGGATATACAAGCTACAAGAACACAAAACAACTATGAAAAAATGCCATATATTTTTCAAGATTTCAACATCAATCATTCAAGACTTCAATGAATTCATTTACTGCAAAAAGTAGCATATATTTTGTTCTAAAACCTTTTCATGTTCATAAAAATTTACATCAATAGTCAATTTCTCCATCTCACCAAAAAGGGATGAAATTTTGATCGTTGATTTCAGAGATATCATGTTCATAAAAATTTACATCAATAGTCAAATTCTCCATTTCAACAAAAAGGGATGAAATTTTGATCGTTGATTTCAGAGATGGGATATTTCAAGTACATGAATCTGGTTGCATCTAACACTAACACCATTCAATTCATAGCAATTCAATTGAAATAATTCTAATTATCCCCCAATTCTAGAAGCATTCATATATCACAAGTATATTCAAAATAGAAATGCAGAGTGGAGTTAATGTAATTGAATACCTGTTTGTGAATAAGATCGCCTCCAAGTGAGTAAATCAACAAGTACCCACAAGATGTTCCGATGGCAATAACCCTAATATCATCGAACACAAACCACTCAAGAGCAGATATATATTCTGCCTCAATCGGGGAGAGATTGGGTCGGATCTTGACCCGAAAACCAGCAAGACCAGAGGCGGTAGACCACTCAAGAACAAGGAGGAAGTAACGGCTGGCGATGGCAAGAGAATTTGTATCGAGAGCACAGAGGACATTAGGGTTATCAAGCCAACCTTCCTTGCCTGCGCCTAATTCGGTCAGATCAACGCTGGCTATGCTTCCGAGATCTGTCAAGTGGGTTCTTGGAGCCATTGGGTTCTTGTTCTGTTTAATGTTCCGCCATTGAATTACTTTTGTACGGAAGAGATCGAACTGTGAGGACGAGGATGGAATCAACAGAAGGTGATTTGATTGTTTGAAGGAGGATGGATTTGCTGACGAATTTGTTTACTGTTTCGGTCCACGTGTTTTACAATTACTCCAAATACAAAAATAAAAATAAATTATAAACAATAAAAACGAAATTGAAATTGGTGAGAAACGACAAGTAAAGTTTTTGAAGTTTGTTTACTTTTTAATAATTTTAGTTCTGAATCATTAAAAAATAAATGTTATTTAATAAAAAAAAATCTGATTTTTAATAATTTTATATTTTGATTATCCTTAACTATTAAAAACTTTAATTTATTATAAATATTTATCAAATAATTATATTTTATTTTATAATATTAATTATTTTTGATAACTTAATCATTTTATACCAAACAAACGTCATATTATTTACTCCATAAAACCGGAGCTTATCTCTTCCCCTTTCACCGTCTGCAAAATGCTTCCTCACAACCCTTCCTTCTTTAAAACCCTAAACCCCTACTTCTCCACCTTCACAAAACCTTATCCCCTACCCACCAAATTCTCGAACCCACTCTACAAAACCCTAATCCCATTTCACTCCTCGCCTCAAATCTCATCACTCAAGTGTTTGTTTCAACCAAAACCAAACAATGCGTCTTGCACACCAGATGTTCGATCATATGCCGGCCGTAGCAAGAAACAGCCAGGAGGAACCTCCACCGGCCGTATCGAAGGGAATGCTGAGTTACGTAGAGAAGCGAAGCGAAATGCTCGACGGAAGAGCAAAAAGCTCGCCGAAAACCTCTTTTATAGGCTCAAGAATCCTCATGGAAATTACCCTAATAATTTCTCTGAAGAGGAGTTGCAGATGATTGGTTTGGGGTACGATCGAATGGTTCAGTTTATGGAGAAAGATGATCCAAATCTTAAACACCCATATGATTGGTACAAGTACGGTGAATTTGGGCCGTATTCGTGGCGTGGTGTGGTTCTCGGAGAGCCGATTCGTGGCCGGTTTTCGGACGAAAACGTGACCTTGATTGGTGAAGTTAGGGATCAAGAAGAGTGGGAAAAGATTGAACAGTTCGAAATGAGTCAAGATTTCGGGCAGAGAATGGAATCAATGGATCGAAACGTTGGATTCCGATACTTTTGGGTGTTCGTTCGGCATCCGAAGTGGCGAGTTTCAGAGCTGCCATGGGAGCAATGGACTCTTGTTAGTGAAGTTGTGGTTGAATCTGGAAAACAGAGGTTAGATAAGTGGAATCTAATGGGTAGGCTTGGGAATCAAACAAGATCTTTGATCACGAAATGTGCAGCATGGATGAGACCCGATATTATATACGTAAAGAGACCGGTTTATCAATGTCGATTCGAGCCCCAAGATGAGTTCTTTAAGGCGATGGTACCGCTTCTTGATCCTGCAAGTGAGCAAGATTTTATGTGCGAGTTAGAAAGCGATGATGGCGGGGTGGAAATGTGTACGTATTTTGGTGGGTTATGCAAGATTTTGAGGGTAAACCCAAAAGCCTTTGTGGATGATGTGGTTAAGGCGTTTGAGAAAGCGAGCGATGAGAAGAAGTCAAAGTGTTTGGAGTTTGTACTCGGGAATCATCCGATTGAGTTGCTTCATCCGTATACTAAAGAATGGAAAGCTAAGCTGGAAGATATGGAGTTGGGTTGTGATGCCCCGGATGAGATCGATGATGGTGGTTCAAAAACCGAAGTTTTGGATTGGATTGAAGACGATGATGATGATGAGGATGAAGATGATATAGTGGTGGATGCTGAGCTTAGTGAGGTCGAAGATGATGATGATGATGGTGATGATGATGATGATGATGGGTCGGGTTTGGAAGAAGATGAGAAGTATTGGGAAGGGGAGTTCGAGAAGGCGGTGAATAAAAACGAAGAAATGGAGGTAATGGCGAGGCGAAGTGTTCAAATGACGACAAAGTTGTATGAGAAGCAATCGCGGGTGATGGAAGAGAAGGAACGGAAGGTGAAGGAAGAAAACGAGAACGATGATCGTGAATTGCGTGGTCGAGCCAAGATAAGTCCGGAGGAATGGGAGAAATTGGGGTACGGTCCGCGGATGAAGAAGATCAAGAAGAGTCGGATTCCACCGGGCCAGTTTTTACGAGCCGCGGTGAGACCCTTTCGGTATAAAAATCTAGTGAAGGAGATCGTGTTAACGAGACACGCGATCGTAGAAGGCGAGATTGGTGGCGACAAGAAGAAATGAAATCTGAAATCTTGAAATAGTTTGCGAATGGTGTATTTTATGGGAGTATCCCGTGATTGTGATCTTGTTATACATGTTTTAATTTAATTATATTGTTTATGTATTTAGGGGCCGGTTTTCAAATGCTTATTTGGGTAAATGAACATCAAGTCATATTACCACCTTACTAGATGAACCGGTAAGGATCAAGAATCTAATCCGATAAAAGCGAGACAAGGACCAAGAGTCTTATCCGGTAAGTGGGGCAACGACTCTTACCATGGTAAGTGCTTACCGGGTAAATTGTTGCATATGATATTGTTTTGATGGACCTAAATCTTACCTGATAAGTAAATAATAGTGTTAAATTTTACTGGCAAATATTTATTGGGTAAGTGTTTGGTAAACGGCCCCTTAGAAGGGTATTTGCATAATGCGGGGAGATATATCTCGATTTTAATGTTTTATTTTTTATTTATTTTTTTGTCTTGGTCGATGTTATAATACGGTTTTATGTGGTTTTGAGAAAGCGATATTGCTTTTATTTTTGAATAAAATATAATATGAAGATATTATAAAAAATTGAAAAAAAAATATTAATATTAGTATCAAACTAACTATTTAAAAAAATTATATATTTCTTAATTCATTTTTTAATTTTTGATTTGATAATATAATTTTTATATAAAGATAATAATTAAGTATTTTGTTATAAATCAATGACCATTCTAATTATATTTTATATTTTTTATATTTAAAATGATATTTTTATCTTTTATTTAACTATGTTTATCTACAGTTAGTTACATGAACTCAAAATGAAACTTTAATAAGGTATACTTACGTGCAATTTACTTATAATCTTGAATTTTAAGTAATATGCATCAATAAACAATATTTTCATGCATAAAAAATGGTTTTTAAGAGTTTTTGTTAAATGTTTTATAATATAGTATATATTATGATGTTTATATATGTTATAATCTTTAGGCTGTTTTAGGTTCGTTGGAATTCAATAAAATCTGAAAGAATTGGAATGTCGGTGATCAAATTTCACACCACTATCACTGATATGACCGTTGCGAATTAATACTATTATAATATCATGAAGGGATATTTTGGTAATTTATCACTATTTTATTATACTTTTGAAGTTGTACTTTACCAATCCAACAAACATATTCCCAAGTATACCAATCACAAGGATTGTGATATAATGGTTGAGATCCTAAAAGATGTAGTAGAATATCTCATCTGTCCAGGGTTCGATTCCAACCGTACACAACAATTATGATCATTGAATAAGTTGTTTATCTAAACACTCAAAAGTGCTTATTACCGAGCACATGTATAAGTTGTTTATCTAAACACTCAAAAATGTTTATTACCTGTCACACCAGAATAAGTCAATAAGTTGTTTTTATAAGCAATCACAAACAACCCCATAATATTGATTAGGTATATGATTAAACAAATGCATTAAAAGTGATGATTGCATAGATTACATGTCTACTTTTAGCAGGAAGCAAATCACAGGCTACGATCCTAAAAAACTATAATCTTCATGCATCAAAGTATTCTTCAGGAAGGTAAAACTTCAATCCAATAGCCTGAAACCACAATCATCAGTAAATTCTCAATTTTACGAGAAACGAATATGCATGCGATTACGACTAGCGGAAATGAAGACGGGACCCGCAAAATGAAACTGTTTACCGACAGAAACAAAGACAAAATCGAACGATTTGTGGGGATAAATGAATCTCACCTCTGCAAACTTCTTATCAGCATCACTGTGATCATCTATTCTTCCAGCAGCATCACCAACATAAAAGGACCTATAAGAGATACAATTGAGGTTATTTAAGCTAAATGACCTCCTGACAGATGTTTTTTAAATTCATGATCTTCTGACAGGTTTTTAGGCTTTTTTTATGCATGGTCAAAAGTAGCAGTCTGAAACCTGTCAGAAGGTCATGGATTTAAAGAAAAATCTGACAGGAGGTCATTTAACGGAAGGACCCGAAAAGGTTATGCAAGAAAGGACAATACTGATCCATATCAATCGGAATTCCGGAGTTGAATTCTTGTTCCATTATGCGCCACATTCCGGGTTGCGGTTTGCGAAAAGGGTCCTCTTCTTTACCTTTACTTATACCACAAGCAATGAACACCTGTATACACATTTTCAATTCTACCCTTAATTATGATACGGGAAATTCATTAGTCTCTATGTTATCAAGGGTAATATTGTCATTCAATTTCTTACAAAGTTTAATAATTGCATATTTCTAAAACTGTGTGCCTTTTTCATTATGGACGCGGAGGGAGCAACAGATTGACAACCACCTGAATTGGAACGTTCACGAGCTTGATAAGACTGTTTAGTCTCCCAATTTTAGAATCCACTGCTACCTGTCGCTTGTTCTTCCACCGCTCAATATTTGATTCATTTGTGAAGATAACCTGCAACACAAGACATCATAAAGAGACCACAGTTGTCGACACTATGCCACATCAGCATTCTAAAACCTCAAAGCAAAAGAAGAAGTTGCAAACCAGTTTGTAGCCATCGTTGTACAAGCTCTGCAACTTTTTTGGTATTGAAGCATACATAAGAGACCAAGCGGTTGCACCTACTCTGTAATTTTACATTCAAAATATACATCATGCAGAAGTAAATTCTAAGGCTGAGACCTTGAGGTATTATAATACACAAAGAAAAGATAACTATTGTGAACCGTTGCCTAGAAAACTCCCAAAAAATGAAAAATTGAGGAATACCGTGATATTCATCTGGATGGTATGCACATCTGCATACAAGTAATTTGTAAGCAATTTGTCCGGTACGCACATGTGTATAAAATGCACAAGTGCATAAAAACCAAGAAAACAGCTTCAGTTACTTGTATGCACATGTGCATACCCTCCAGATGAATGGTTACCAGAGTGTTCCTCAATTTTTCATTTTTTTGGGGGTTTTCCTTGAACCTCCCTCCCTCTATAGAGAGAGAGAGAGAGGGAAAGGTTTAAACGAGGACGCTAACTATTTAAGAAAACAAGAAAAAGGTCGTTAATGTAAAAAATCACATGTGATTTACATTAACGTCAAAAAAAAGGAAGCGGACGACTTATGAACCCGTATGATTTTGTAGGTGAATATATGTATATATATATATATATATATATATGTGTGTGTGTGTGTGTGTGTGTGTGAATCATGTAGGATTTTGTACGTGAATCATGTAGGATTTTGTACGTAAATCATATATGATTTTGTACATTAACGACCTTTTTCTTGTTTTCTTAAATAATTAGCATTCTCTTTTGAACCTGCCCCTATATATATTAAAAATATACATCATAGAGAAGTAAATTCAAAAGCTGAGACCTAAAGATTGATTATATTTTGTAGGCATATCATGGACATTTGCGAGTTTAAAACTAGGAGTACCTTTGAACAGATGTTTTTGCAAGACATCCATCAAAATCGAAGGCAGCAATTTTTCTTGAATCTTGGAGGCCATCATCCTACAAATTATATTATAAGATTGATTGTGAGAAGTGCTGTCAATGCCAATCCTTGTCATGGTATCGACCCGTTGATCATAATGATCTTATCAATTAAAAGAACTCACTCGTTCAAGATATACAATGGTCCGGAACGCCTTCCACTTTGGCTGTAAAGTTGCACCCTAAAAGAAGAAAATAATCACAATTCACAAGAAAATGAAATTAGTATGAAACTTACGAACATGATTACCGATATAAAGTGTAGAATTGAGTAAAAATTGCTGGCTGATCTTACCTTGTAATTGTCCTTGATGTCACTAACGGCAAAGTCTATCTCTGATCCAACGCGCGCGTCAAGTGAATTAGATATCTAAAAAAACGAAAGTTCAAACTATATATCATTAACATGCCCCGTTTTAAATAATTAAAGAGCTCTTTGGAAAGGAGAACAAAAGAGCAAGAAAGACGAGTAGTCATGAAAAATGGAAGAATTCATGGATGATAATACACTTTGATGTTATTATCGCTTGTGTGGTTTAAAAGGAACGAGATTTTCAAGAAAGATGGTTAAATGGAACGAATACGGTGAGATACGATTTCTAATGCTGGTCAATCTTAGAAAGAAGATAGGTCGGCAAGTGTCTACTCCCACTTAGAATTCACTAAGTCACCTAGAATCCGGCATTTTTTATGCTGAAATTCTTCTTCGCCACTAGTGGCAAATATCCATTAAATATGGTAACCGGATTAGATATTTAAGGAAAATAATCAAAATGACAAAGATGCACTTGTGTGTATGGTTTGTAACTAATACAAGGTTTAAGTTGTATTTGTATGGCAAATGAAGCGGAATGACTTGAACCCACAACAAAGTACATACATGCCTCGGAATATTTCAAGCTCAAGGAGATGACGCGCATATGAGAATTACACTCTGCAAATATTCTATAGTCTATACTCGTTCGATTAGTCATCTCAATACCTTTTCACTCGTTTGATCCTGTGCCGCCAGCTCAGTTTCACCATCTTCATTCGACTGTCGCAACTCAGAAAACAAAACAAGTCAATATCACATGAACGGCATTTGTGCATGCATAATGTTGCATACAAGATCGTATTTACCAAAAAGTTATACCTCTACGGTTTGTGATACTAAAAATCTTTAAAATCTAATAGTCATATTATAAAATCGACAGTGTTGCTTCTTAGTGATATTTAAGGTGTAAGGCAAGGCATGTATGTTTCAAATATTAGAATCACTGAATCATAAGTAGTGTCATCTATAATTAACGTTAACAACACTCGTATAGAAAGAATAACATTCAACTAAAGAATCAACACCCCCAAAAGTACTTCAATATTTACGTTAATCTATCAACAATTTGAGTTTAGATTAACAGCATAAGAAACTAATATTCAAATAACAAAATTCTTTTAAAATAACTTCAATAGACATTCTGTATCCAACCCTGTATTAAGTGGCAAACATTTTTGCGATAGATCCAACTTCTAAAGCATAAAAAAAGATAAACTCGAAGAACACCATCTAACAATGTGTATTATCACTCCATCCAGCGTGTTCATAGTTTATACAAGTAGCTTTATAGCATGCAGTACCTTCTTAGAAGATTGATCCCCTTCAGTCACCAGTTTCTTCAACTTTTCTTGATCGCTGCTCTGCATCGAATACAACTCAATCAAATGATCAAATAAGGTGCTGGATTTTGGATAAAACTTTTTTGGGTTTTGTTCAAAATGTGGTATTCAATTACCAGCCATAAACCTACGCTTTAAAGAACTGTCACCCTCCCAAGTACATGGTTGGTTATATTAACTAAAGGTTAAAGAATTATATGGTTATGGACAGAAAATAGAATACCAATAAGATTATTCATTATAACTAAAAGGAAACCAAAAGAAACAAATAACTTTGTAGGTATAAACATATTTGTTTTGTTTCAGTTTCAACTTTAAGAAAATGGCTGCCAACTAAGAGGGTTGAACCAATGTGCTTTCTTTCTTCTTGGGAGACTTATGTGAATAAGTTTTATGGTGGTAATGCAACAGCGGTGAAATGGTAACCAAACATAGTTATATGAGTTTTAAAACTGAAAAAGTACTGACCTTATGCGAAAAAGTGACTAAATGAAAAGTAAAATCAGTAGCTAAAAAGATAAACTGAACCCCATTGACCTCACCTTCAGTTCTGAAAATCCTTCAATTGATTCTGCTGAAAGCAAGTTTGAATCTAGAGGGAAGAAGCAGTCTATGTGATGCCATTTGGTGTTTTCAAATCCTCGAGGATCCCAACTAGTCAATCCCAATCTTAGGGATTTAGAATCGATCTTCTCAGCGCATTTCTTGCATAAAGATCTTCCTGACTTCGCATACTCTGCAACAATCTTGATACAAGAAGAGAAAGAAGAAATTGCAAAAGAAGTTAAGCCGTTGTACTAAACATTTTCTTGAAAACTATTATTACAAAAAAAAAAGAGAAACAGAAGATTTAAAGATAATACAAGCATAGAAGGAAGCTAATAGACGTCAATCCACAGCACAGGTCGGTGGCACAACTTTACTGTAAGTAATAAATCAGTGTAAAACTTAAGCCCTTCGAAAGTTAAGCTTTTTTTAGGTTCTTCTTGGAATGTGTCAACGAACAACTTTACATACCCCCACCCCCAACTTCCCTTTCTGCACCCATCCTATCAATAGCCAGTTGGGTAGCATAATAATATACCTTTTCATTCTTTACGTTCTCTTTTTCTTTCCCAGCTTCTTCATCTTCATCCGTCTACAAAAAAGCAGAATCACATGAATGTCATCAGTTTCCTCAAGATATGAAAAGTAAAAAACCATCTCACAAAGGCAAAATTGACATAAAGATCACTCCGTTTTCATGGTCTTTTCAAATGTGTACCTTACAATAAAGATTTATCAATGACGATACTTATTCTCACAATCATATCAAACAACCCATGCCCTCATCAAGTGAATAAGATGTCTAAAACGGAAAGTTAAAACTATATCTTTAAAATCCCTGCTTTAAATAATTAAGGAACTCTTTGGAAAGGAGAAGAGAGGAGCTAGAAAGATGACTAAACAAAGAGCAACCCAAGTTCTGCAATTAAAAAACATTGTAGTTAAATACTTAATACACTACATCCAAATGAACAAACATGGAAATTTGATGGGTATAAGAAAATCAAAAATTTGAAACTCAGAAACGAAAGAGGAGAAACCGAATTAACATGGATAGGAGAACTAGACAAGCATTGGCAAGTTTATGCACCATAAACTATAGAATTTATATTAGGTAGAATATGTGCCCGTATATATCATACAAGTCGGAAATACCCGTAAGGCCGTATCACAATGCCATTACAAAACAAACAAAGTTGAACAAAATGAACAAAGATCACAAAAAGTTAGGGAAGGATACAACAGAAGATGAGGTTTCCACTTCTGCTATTAACATCACTCATTAAAGATAAGGTGTACTATTTAATATTTTATGTTTGAAAGAAAGGCTTCTAAAGCATGTGAAAAAATAAATGAAGATAAACAAGGTAGAAGATCAAGGAGATAAGGATGCATAATCTAAAATGATTTGTTCATTTTTTTTTTTCAAATTGCTACAAGAGGCCTTTTTTGTAGCCAATAGCCATTAAGGTTCCAAGTTCATCTAATCAATGAATATCATTTGAAATAAACTACTATGAATGTCTTAACACGTAAAAGGACAGACAATATGCAAAGTTCATTTTAGATGTGTATTCTTGTAGATGTATGGCAGATGAAGCAAAGTTGAATTGCGTCAGACTACAACAAAATACATACATGCACCAGAATATTTCAAGGACAAGGAGGTAATATATATGAGAATTACACTCTGCAATTATCCTACAGTCTATACTCATTTGATTAGTCATCGCAATACCTTTCCACTCTTTTGATCTCGTCCCTCCAGCTCAGTTTCACCATCTTCATTTGACTGCACAACTCACAAACCAAAACAAGCCAATTTCACATGAAGGGCATTTGTGCATGCATAATGTTACATACAAACTTATTTTAACAAAAAGTCAAGCCTTTATGGTTTGTGAAAGAAATAACAAGCTTTAAAATATAATATTCATACTATCAAATCTACAAGAGTGTCCGGATATGGACAGTGATATTTAAGGTGTAAGGCAAGGCATATATCCTTAAAATATTAAAATCATTAAAGCATAAGTAGCATCATCTCTAATTACATTGACACTCCTATATAGATAGAATCACATTCAACTAAAGAATCATCACCAAACAATTTACTTCAATATGTACATCTATTTATCACCAACATTCAGTTTGTATTAACAGCATAAGACACTGATACTCAATTAACAAAATATTGACCGCAAACATTTAATTAACCTCAAGCACTTAACACAAAAAAGACAGGTGCATGAAATAAAGAGGGAAGCCCCTATGGTGACTATTTTTAATCTTATCTATCCTTTTATGAATTACATTAATTAAAATAAATGTTTACTGGGTTCAGATTACATTTAAACCAAGGGCTAACAAAATATTTTCTAGTTCATGCAAAATAGCCAAGAAGTCGACTTGTAACTATTTTCAATGAATCTCACACTTTGTGATGGCAACTGATGGGCAAAGGTACACCCTTCACTGAATCAAATGGGTCTAGTCCAATATGACACCCAAAAGTTATGCTTTGTCAAGCATAGACGGACCTACATAGGTGCCATGGGTGGCACGTGCCACCGTATCGTTTCTCCGCCGAAGGGTAAAAAATTTAGGTTTCGTGAACGGTGCAACCGTATTAATTTGTTGTGTGCCACCGTATGTATTTTGAAACTACAATGAAAACAAGTTTTATTTGGTAAAATTGGTTTGCAAGGCTTTTATTCCACCCCACACCCAAGTCCGAATCATGTTAGTGTCATTTTCTTAGTCAAACGGTGCCACCGTTTGAAAAAAATTCCGTATATTTGTTTCTTATAGTCAAACGCTGTCACCGTTTGAAAAAAAATTCCTATATTTTTTTTCTTATGGTCAAATGGTGCCACCGTTTAAAAAAAATTCTGGGTCCGTCCCTGGCTTCGTGCCTGGACACGTAAACATGGATCTGGGAGCCTCAAATTATCAGACACAAAAAATAAACTCCGACGGGAATACCCGTAGGCTGAACATTTAAATCCTCAAATGGAAAATTAATTTTAAATAATTTTAACATAAACTTTGCATCCAACCCTGTATTAAGTAGCAAACATCTTTGCGATAGATCCAACTTCTAATGCAGAAGAAAGGATAAACTCGAAGAAAACCACCTAACAATGTGTATTAATCCATCCAGTGTGTTTATACAAGTAGCTTATAGTAGGCAGTACCTCCTTAGAAGATTGATCCCCTTCAGTCACTAGTTTCTTCAACTTTTCTTGATCGCTGCTCTGCAATGAATACAACTCGAACGAATGATCAAATAAGGTATTTGGATAAAACTTGTGTACTTTATTCATAATATGGTAATTTGTTACCAGCCGTAAACCTATGCTCTCAAGGACTGTCACCCTCCCAAGTACAGAGTTAATGATTATCTTAACTAAAAGTTAAAGAATTATATGGTTCTGGACAGAAAATAACTTCATGTTAACTAAAAGCAAACCAAAAGAAACAAATAACTTCGTGTATAGAAAAATATTGTTTTTGTTTCAGCTTCAACCCTGAAAAATGGTTGCCAACTAAATAGGTTGAACCAATGTCCCTTCTTTCTTCTTGGAAATACTTCTGTGAACAATTTTACTGGTGGTAAGTGGTAACATAACAGCGGTGAAATGGTAATGGAACATAGTTATATATAAGTTTTAAAACTGAAAAAGTACTGACCTTATGTGAAAAAGTGATTAAATGAAAAAGTAAAATCAGTGGTTACAAAGATAAACTGAACCCCATTGACCTTACCTTCAGTTCTGAAAATCCTTCAATTGATTCTGCCGAAAGCAAGTTTGTATCTAGAGGGAAGAAGCAGTCTAAGTGATGCCATTTGGTGTTTTCAAATCCTCGAGGGTCCCAACTACTGAATCCTAATCTTAGAGATTTAGAATCAATCTTCTCAGCGCATTTCTTGCATGAAGATCTTCCTGACTTTGCATACTCCGCAACAATCTTGATACAGGTAGAGGAAGAAGACATTGCAAAAGAAGTAAAGATGTTGTACTGAAAAGTTGCTTGAAAACCATTATCACAAAAGAAGTAAAGAGGAACAGAAGATTTAAAGATAATAAGAGCATAAAGAAAGTTAATAGGCCTCAATCTACAGGGAGGAAGTTTAAGTTCGGTAGAACAACTACATAAAAAAAGTTACATCAAGATTAATTCATTATCTATCAAATCTGCTTCACTGTAAAGTAATAAATCAGTGTAAAACTTAAGGCCTCTCAAGTTAAACTTTTCTTATGTTCTTCTCGGAATATGTTAAGGCACACCTTTACATACCCCCACCCAGAAATACCTCTCTGAAAAGCTCCCAAAGTTCACCCTTTAAATAAGATAAAATCGGTGTATACACTAAACTTCCCTTTCTGCACCCGTCCTATCTATAGCCAGTTGGATGGCATAATACTATACCTTTTCATCCGTTACATTCTTTTTTGCTTGCCCAGCTTCCTCATCTTCATCCATCTATAAAAAAACAAAGCAGAATCACATGTATGTCATCAGTTACATCAAGATAGAGAAAGTAAAAAACATATCATAAAAGACAAAATAGACATAATAATCATTCCACTTTCATGGTTTTTAATTGTGTACCTTATAGTAAAGATTTATCAATGAAAATACTTATATTCACACAATCATATCAATTACATCCTTTCAATTTGATTGCGGTGCGATCTCATAACTCTAAATGTTCAATGGTTGATCGTCTACGCCTTTGTTGCAAAACAATGACCCTTTCTTTATCTAGTTCACTGAACTTCCTCAATTTTAAACTAATTTGTTATTTTTGATGAAAATTGCACAGAACTCATGTAATTGGTATGGTTGTGAGAATACAATTATGTTACTGATAAATTCTTTTATAAATGTATGCAGTGGAAAAACAATGGAAGTTTCAATAAGACAAATAACACATCTCTACCTTTAGTTTCTTTGAACTCGTTCGCTGTGACTCGAGCTCAACGTCTCCTTCTCTCTGTTTTAGAGCAATAGCAATTAGGTAAGCTTACAATGCACGAACCATGGTAATCCTATATGCTTCTATAAAATGTCATCATAGGAAGGGTGATATGTCAAGATGAACAAAGATCTCCACAAGAATGATATGGAAGAAAAGGAAAAAGAACAATGTGCAACATTGCATAACATCACTGTTACAGCACTGCCTGTAGCTGTATAATGTTAAGAAAAGGCTTCTCAGTTGAGTAAAAATAAATGAAGATATATCAAGTAGAAGCTGAAGGCCCTTTTTTGGTTGCCAGTTGAATAATAATTCTCACACACCATTGATATCCTGAGGAGATTTTAGAAGTAAAAAGAGGTGGTACAAATGTACAATCCAAAATGATGATATTGTTATAACAAATTGTTACCAATCTATGAGAAAAAACCATGAGCAGCAAAACTTTGCCATCATGTTACTGTATCTATGTGACTTCTGACTACAATTTACATGCTAAAACCATTGAATCAGCATACTTAACTTGTTACACGTAAATCAAACAGGAAATGAATCTTTCACCCATAATATGTACTGTTGTCTTGGAAATAACTGCAACCAAAATTCTACATGCCGATTCGTAAAACCAAAAGATTCAGCACCTTAACCATGTTCCACAGGCATGCTAGCAAATAAGTCTTTGTGAATAGGTACCAACTGGACGATGCCCAACAATGTGTTCTGATCGTCAATTAAGAAAACTCTGTTACTGTTCAAAACCAAATGGACGATCACATTATGTACTGTATTGCCGCTAGTACGCTAGGAAGTACTGCCGCCATTTGAAGTGCCCCCATTTGAAGTGAAGTGTATCAACAGTTTACCAATAACTTTGAAACTACCAGCTAATACAAATTTGTACAACTCTAGAGGGAAACAGTTGAACATTAAACCGTATAAAGACAACTAAGTTCATGTGTATGACAGTGTAAATACTCTTGTTCCAGTATTCTAGTTATGCAGGTCGGATACAAGGTTTCTTAGATGTGCTTCAAGTAATTCAGTAATTGTGACATTTAACAGATGGACATGAAATCACAATACATAGATATCTATGTATATCTATATCTACACAAATAACACAATATTCAAAGTTCTGCTTCTGATTTCTTATCCAACCATTCATACACTAAAAAAGTCCAAGCTTACATGAATGCTTTTTATTTTTATGATCTATTAAGACATAGCAGCCATATTTAACTCACAGAAGTGACCATGAAGCATATAAAACCTGTCCATCATACAAATTCATACCAAAAAGCATCTTATGTCTAGTTACAGCTTACAAGTAGCTTAAATCAGCAAGTACCTTTGTAGAAGATTGATCTCCTTCACTCACCATCTGCTTCAACTTATCTTGATCACTTCCCTGAATGAAAAAAGTACGAATATGCAGCTCAAAAACAAAGAAAACATAATGTTCTTGCACTTGATCAAATCATGTCAGCTTATTATCCATTATGCACCGATAGTGTGTAAAAACAAACTCGGAAATGGCCAAATGGGAAAGTAAATTTCGTTTTATACACCTTAAAGCTAACAGTACTGAATTGAGTTAAGCAAATGAAAACTCAAATCAGTAAGCTAAACAAATGAATAGAATGGAGCTAAGCTTTACCGTCAGTTCTGAAAACCCTTCAATCGTTTCGGTGTAAGAAACCGGAACTGAATCCAAAGAAAAGAAACAGTCCAAGTGATGCCATTTAGTGCTGTCATACCCTCGAGGATCCCGAATCTTCAACCCTAATCTGAGAGCTTTGGAATCAATCTTCTGGGAACATTTCTTGCATGAAGATTTACCTGACTTAGCATACTCTGCAACGATCTTCGATGAAGAAGACGATGACATTGCATAAAGATCAAATACTACGAACCTAGGGTTTCTCGAGAAGAACGAAATTCGAGGATTAAAGACTAGAAACATATAAGTAGGAACCTTTATCCAACTTCTACATGAATGAAGTCCGATACTCCAGGGTTTGGGGCCTATACTATGTTCCCGCCACTCTCGAGAAATATCATCGTTAAGTACAAAGCGAAAGGTAGAGTATAAAATAAAATATAACTATTTGATAATTATTTATAATGATTTAACAGTCAATGGAGATTTATGATATAAAATTATTTAAATGGTTTTAATATTATTAAAAGTAGATTTTTTTTTTCAAACAAAATTTATTTCTTAACGATTCAGATATTGTTCTTAATAGAATTATTAAGAGGTAAAAAAAAAATAACCCTTGTATGATATCAATCTGATTTATAACAAGAAAATTAACTCAATTCACCCTTTTCTCACATTTAAATTGCTCTCCTAATTATTTATTTCCTGAATTTATATAAACGTCATTACTTTCTTAATATTTATACTATATTATAAAGCATTTGATAAAAACTTTTAAAAATCATTTTTTATACATGAAAATACTCTTTGTTAATGAATATTACTTAAAAAACTCAAGATCACAAGTAAATTGTGCGTAAGTACGACTTATTAAAATTTCATTTTTGAAATTGTGTAACTAACTATACATAAACATAATCAAATACGGGATATAAATCTTATTTTGAATATAAAAAATCTAAAATATAATTAGAATAATCATTAGTTATAACAAAATATTTAATTATTATATTTATAAAAATTATATTACTAAACGATAAATAAATTACTTTGTTATTAATCTAAATTAAATTATAAATAAAATATTAAAAGAAATTACACAAAAAAATCAAAACTTTAAATAATAAATTTGATACAAATATCGATATATTTTTCCCCATATTTTCACGATATATTTAAATTTACATTTTATTCAAAAATAAAAACGTTATCACTTTCTCAAAAACACTAGAAACCATATTATATCGACATAGATAAATAATAAAATGAAACATTCAGTCCGTGTATATTTGTATAATTCATTGTTTTTTCATTCTTATAATTTACAACTTATTATTGTGTTCAGTCCTTGTGGTTTAAAATTATTTACTATTTTGGTCCTTGTACGTTAAAGATATGAATTAGTCCATAGATGAAAATAACAATAAATAGAAACCGTAATTTACTTTGATGTATATTTTAAATGTTAATATGACAAAGTAAACAGATATAAATTCTACAATTTTATTAACAACAAACGCTTTTATTGCCCAAAAAAAAACACCAGTAAAACAAGGAGAGTGAGAAGGTCGTGTTTTGTGGGCATATAAAGACGACCGACAACACATCAAGACGGAAATAAGCTAAAAAGAGAACAAACAATCACGAAACATCTGAATTACGAATAGAAAAACAGGATGACTACAATAAGAAAGGAGATGGCAGGATTCCAACCAGACAATAAAAGCCAGTAGCAAACAATGACCATAAATGAATACTGCAACAAACGAACCCATTGAACAAAACGAAACCTAGAGCGAAAAAATTGAAATCAAAACTAGTTACGCAACCATCGTTATCAATACGAAGGAACCAAGAACCATACCGACGAACTTATAAAACAGATCCACGAAGATCAAAAACCGAAAGGACATGGGAACATTAAAAGGCAACCGAATGCCTTGAAATCCAAAATTATGGAACTTGACTTTTGGGGATATCAGGGTTGGCTTTGAGTTTGATTTTCAGCCATCTGACTCGTCCGAAACCATGATAAGTTGAAAAATATAACACTTAGCAGATCGTGTTATTTTTAAAATTATAAACTTGCTATCGATTTCATCAATCATCTCAATTTATTAAATTCATCCTCAAAATCAATTGAGTATGTATTTTTTGAATTATAATAATGGTGTTTGTATAATGTAACGAGATATATTTCAATTTTATTATTTGTTTTTGTCGATATAATACGTTTTTAGTGGTTTTGAGAAAACGATAATGTTTTTATTTTTGAATAAAATATAAATTTAAATATACCATAAAAAATATATCGATATTATTATCAAATTTACTATTTAAAATATTTGTTTTTTATGTAATTTATTTAATTCAATGTTTTATTTATAATTTAATTTAGGCTTAATAACCAAGTAATTTATTTATCGTTTAATAATATAATTTTCTATAAAGAAAATAATAAAATATTTTGATCATTAATGATTATCTTAATTATATTTTAGATTTTTCACACTTACAACGAGATGTTTATCCCATATTTAATTATGTTTATCTATAGTTAATTACACGTATTCAAAAATGAAGCTTTAATAAGTTGTATTTACTTATAATTACTTGTAATCTTGAATTTTAAATAATATGCATCAATAAACAATATTTTATGTATAAAAAGTTATTTTTAAGAGGTTTTATCAAAACCGACTGACTTCAACCCTAAACCCGACCAATCCGAAAACAATATAAAATATGAAACCCAAGATTAAGGGGGTGTTTGGGATTGCTTATTTAAAACAACTTATGTTTTTTTTTTTTTGTAAAATTGCTTATTAACTTATGTGGTATCAAATCGGAGTTTTGTAAAAAGTGTTTGGATTAGCTTATAGCGGTACCAAAAAGTAATGAGCTGATAAATTGTTTTTTAGTGTTTGGCAAATTTTACTTATATATGTGAAATGACAAAAAAAAAAAACAGTCTTTCATATTATTGACTTATGGGGGTGTTTGAGATTGATTATTAATTTATTTGATTTTTTAACATGTAAAAATTTATTTTCATCATTTATAATAATATCTTTCACAAAAAATTATATCAATAAGATTAATATTTTATATCAACAAGATCAATAATTAACAAACATTAATAAAACAAAGTTAAAATGGTAAACTAGTAATAAACAATTTTTCATAAGTTAGGAAACATTAACTTATCAAAAACTGCTTATTACTGGTTTGGCACCGGTATAAGCAGTTTTATTTTACCTCATCCAAAAACTAGCATTTAGTTTATCATCGATGCCAGACTGAAATAAATCAAAAAATACCTAAAATAAACAATCCCAAACACCCCGGTGCGTTTGGTTTGCAGGAATGTTTTTGAGAGATTTTGATTTTCATGAGGGATTTAAATTCCATGGGATTTGGATTGGATTGGATTTAAAATCCATCCTATGTTTAGTTTGCAGGATTTGGATTGGATTTGAAATCCATTCCTCTGTTTGGTTTGTAGGATTTGGATTTGGATTGAGTTTTTTTTTGTAATTATTTTAATCACCAAATCTCTTTCATTTTCTTAAATCTATCTATTTAACCAACAAACCTAAAAATTTAACAATCAAACCTTAGGATGAAATCATTCTATCGAGAATCGGGGCTGTTATGCTAAGTTGTTCATGCATTATATAAAAGCAACTGTCTATGGTATGTATAGGATTCCTCAATTGACAATTATCGAGAAGTCCATAATCTTCGAAGGCAACTACAACAAGCTATTGATGAAAAAAAATGAATTCGAGGTCTGTACAGGCTTATTCCGATCATACCACCGTTATAGATTCATAGGAATGGATCAGGTAAGAGGAGGAAAGAGAGAGAAGACAATTTTCTAAAGTATTACCCCTTGTTCGTTCATTCAGTTTTCGAGTATCGAAGAAAATCTTGAATATGTTTAGAAATGCACATACTGGTAAGCACATACTGTGTTCATAGTTTAGACAAAAATCGAAAAGGGGAAAAGGGATTTACCTGTTGAGTGATGGGAGAAGGCGGTTTATCGGCGAGGACCACTGTGGGAGATGGTGGGCGACGGAGACGGTGAGCGACGACGACCGACGGAGGCGGCGACGGTGAGCAATGGAGGAGCGATGTAAGCTATGGGAGAAGATGGAGACGAGTTAGGGCAAGAATGAAATCCCACGGGAATGGATTTTAAAAACCTGTGTATTTTCAAAGGATTCTTAAATCCATAATTCACGGGATTTTAAATGAATCCCAGGATTTTAAATCCTACCATTCATACAAACCAAACACATAATTGGAATGAATTTTAAATCCAAATCTCTCTAATTCCATTCCATTCCTGCAAACCAAATGCACCCTAAAATGATTTCATTATCCAAAACTCGAATAAAATTTTGATTTATCCACCCGGGTCCGACCCGCGGATTCACACCGTCCAGCTCCATAATTTAATTCCCAAAAATACTTTCCTCCCTCTTCCTCACCCTCCAAAACCCTAGTTATTGATCTTCGTTTTCGATGGATCCGTACTACGAACAGAGGTTACGAGACGAAGTTATTTACCTCCATTCTCTATGGCACCGAGGTCCTCTTTATAGGTCATTGCCATATACCACTCTACAACCTTACAATTCCACAAATTTCAAAAAACACAAGAAAAAGTCCAAATCGAACGCCAGACAATCGAAAAAGGTCGGCAGTTTTTCTGGCAAGGAATGGCCGGTGAAACCTCTCTCCGCCGATCCTCCGCTGACTCAATCTGGATGGCCGGAATTGAAACTAAAACCTAACCCACAACAAACACCTCGTTTGCCCACACCAGAAGACCTAGAAAAGTACAACTGGAATCAGATCCATCAAAAGGCATTAAAGGCCGCGAAAGAATTTTTTGCGAGAAATGGTGAGGATAGCGATGAAGAAGACGATGACGTCGATGATATGGATGAAGATGATGAAGATGATGTTCAAGACGAAGAGTATGATTTCTTTTGGAAATTGTTTAATGAGGATGAAGAATTGAAGGGTTATTATGTAAAGCATTGTGGCGGAGGAGGTGAGTTTTCATGTCTGGTATGCGGCGGAGCTAATGAGAAATATCGGAAAAGGTTTAAGGATTGTATTGCTCTGGTTCAGCATTCAATTTCGATTGCGAAAACGAAGAAGTTAAGATCACATAGAGCTTACGGGCAAGTTGTTTGTAAGGTTCTTGGGTGGGATATTGATCGGCTTCCTTCTTCCATTGTTGCAGATTATAAGGTACAGAAATTGGACTCTTGATTTTTGTGTTTGAGGTCTAGAGATGTATGTTTGATCGAAAATTGTTGGTGTTTTTGTAGGGAAATGGTGTTAATGCTGATAAAGATGTTAACAATGGTGGGGATAACGCGGGTTTAAACAAGAATACTGACAATGGAGAGTCGAATTTACAGGTGGATCCTAATGGAAGTTGTCATGATGTTTCGGAAATTGTTGATGATGAATCGATGGTTTGTGAGGTTAGTGATGTTCTTCATAACATAGGGTTGATCAAGATTATTGATATTATGAATTCATATGCATTTGAATATTGAAATTGATCATATTCTACTCTGGTTGATGGTGCAACTCCGTTTTTTTGATCCGAAAATTGTTGGTATTCTTATAGGGAAATGATGTTAATGTGGATAAAGATGTTAATAATGATGGGGATAATGAGGGTTTAAACAAGATTATTGATAACGAGGAGTCAAATTTACAGGTGAATCCTAATGGAAAAGGTCAAGATGTCACGAAAACCATCGATGCTGAATCAATGGTTTGTGAGGTTAGTGATGTTCTTCATACATGCGCTTAATCAAGATTATTGATACATGGATTCATGTGCATTTGAAATTGGAATTGATCAAATTCTACTCTGGTCGATGGTGCATTGAGGGCATAGGATTCAATCCAGCCACAGGTTCTCCTTATGGCTACCTAACTCCGGTTTTGTTTGGTTAATGATTCTAAGGGGCTGTTTGGTTGGTTTTCCATTAACTCTTGTATGGATAAAGTTGTCTATGTGGATTAATCTGTCTGTGTAGATTGAAAAGGTTTTTGTTTGAGAGGGTTTTTTAATGGATGGAAGGAGCGTGTTTTTGTAATTGGGAAGGGTAGATTGGAAAAAAACTTGGCTTTTTGCATAAAGCTCCCCCTAGAAACTTACTGAATAAACTATTTTCTATAACATTGAGCCACTACTAAAACAATCATGTATAGTTGACCGAGTAAGTTGTGAATCTCATTAAGCTACCAACAAACAGGCCCTAAGTGTTGACCTGTTCGAATGACATGAAGGTGATAGGGAGGTTAAATTAGGTTCCCCCAATGGTAATGGTGATAACGACACAACTATTGGTTGAAATTGACATGGGTTTAACTAAGATTATTGATAGGTTGATCCAAACGCATCTAAAGTGTACGTGATAAAGCTCTATAATTTCATTCCAATAGATGGTGAAACTGCAGTTTGTGATGGAAATCCATAGGGTCAGGTTCAAAGAGAAAGGCGGTCAATCTATGAGAAGCCGGGAAGTTTCAAGATCATACATAATTTTTTTTTTTTGTAAGGGTGTCCGGGCCAAAGCCCGACTAATCCCCGGCAAATTTGGAGGCTAAACATGGCCCCACTTAAATGTCGCCAACACTCCCCTCCCAGGGCTCGAACTCGGGTTCATGACTATGCCATGCCCAAGCCTTTACCACTAGGCTGGAAGGTCTTTGACAGATCATACATAATTACATGTGATACAAACATGTAATCATATATTATGCTACACATGTTGTGTTGACGGCCATAGAGAGGGCGACCTTTGGTCATGTTGAGCCGTTGACCCAATCATATACGTCTAAGGATGGAGACAGGGCGGGTAATGCATCCCCTGTCCTTGAACCCCGTTTACCTCCTGGGTCCCTGACCCTGCCCCGACTAATCTCTGATGGGTTTGGAAGGAAGGAATCTCTGGCTGGTTTAGGGGTTGTACCCGTTTAGTAAGAAACAATGTTTTTTAAATTAAAATTATAAAGAATCGTCACTACATTAATCATCAATATTGAAAATCAAATATATTTGTCATCTAATAATAAATGTATACATACATATATTATTTACACACACTATATGTATTAAATAAAATAAAATTTAATCGGGGTCAAATTAGGGACGGGTAATGCCATTCCTGCCCCGACCCTTGTTCGGGTATGAAAATAAATCCCCGTTCCTGTCCTATTACCCGTCAAACTGCGGAATCCCTCCCCGTTAGGGTCATGGTACCCGCCCCAACATGTAAAATTTCATCTCTAACTGCGTCCTTTTTGGACGTGTTGTATCATATATGATTACGTGTTTGTATCACATGTAATCATGTATGATCTTGAAACTTTTTGCCTTCTGGCAAATTGACCGATTTCTCGCATGATCCTGCCTCTAAGTCCATATACACAAACATATCGGTGAGACACCTTGAATCCCAACTCAAATGGGAATGTCCCAATTTAGTACCAAAGTCCTCGTCAACAAGCCTAGCATGGTTAACCATGAGAGGTTGCTCAGTTGGCAAATAATGGCCAGGCCTTGGAGCTCCTCCCATAGATCGTCAATTTAAGCCCCCCGGGCCACTGGGGATTTTTCTGACTGTTATCTTCAAGGTCTCATAGGATTAGTCGAGATACGCTTTCATTAAGTCGTATCCGGCAATGATCTTGGTGTCGATTCTTGCAGGACTTGCCGGTTGTAGCAATTGTAGAAGAAGAAAATACCAAGAAACAGGTCTTGAACGAGGCAGAAGGGAGCTCAGGGGGAGCTGTCACCAATCTTGTGAGGATATTACATTATCTTTCAGAAACTTTCCATTTAAATTCACATTTTTACCTGTCTTTCAAATGTTCTTTTCTGTTGTACCACACATTCGCTTAACTATTTTTCTTAGAGCATTCACAATCGAGTTTTTTGGTCACATTGGATAGCGAAAAAAATAGGCTTCTTTTGCTTGGCCACCTGAGCTCGTGGCTCCCTCTTTTTTTTGGAAAAGCTCAAATAAGAAACTTGCCATTGTGGATGCTTTAGAAATCCTGTGGCATCACCGCGCTCGTTGACATTGGTTGATTTATACAGTGCAGGAATCTGTCGTCAACAATGGTGCTGGAACAACCACCACCGCCCGCCAGCAACAACAGTGCAGTTGCAGACTAACTGATAAGGTCTAAGAGTCATAATCGATGATTGAACTAGCAAATTGATAGCATAGCGAGACTAGTAAGACCATCTGTAAATTTATGTAGGCTGTAGGTTATTATTTCATAGTCGCTAGTTTCATCGAGCAGTTGTTGATCTAAACATAATCATGCATCGAGGTGATGCATTGAGTTTCAATACAATGTTAATTATAAATTAATTTAACATGATTCTGCGAGTCATTTTTCATCCTTCGTGTATGCAAACAAACTTTTGTACTCGGGTTTTTTGTTGCAAAAAGATCACAAGAAAAGAAAAATATCACTGTTTGTGTAACAAATATTCCCACATGGATAGAAAATGGGATATGCGAGCTGCTTATAAACCTCAAATTGTAGGCTACCAATAACTTCCACACTGGTTTTACGTTAAGTTTGAAGTTATTGGGCCAACTTGTTTGCTTTAGGCTTTTGGGTGTTACAAATGGTAACAACTCCTCTCATATTGATAGAAAATGGAATTTGAGGCTTCCAGTCTTAAATTGTGGGCTACAAAATAACTTCCGTCATGGTTTCAAGTTGGATATCAATAACACCTTGAAGGCTTATTACATATTACAAACCCGATTAACGAAGCTTACTAGCAGCAAAAAACGAACAGTTTTAACAGATAACCCGACCTAAACTATCGCTTATTGAAACTAACTTCTCTTACCAGCAGGTTTCAATCAAACTCGCCAGAAGACCCAAGTTGCAAATGGAAAAGAAAACTCACATGTGAAGCACGTGGGTGACTACGGTCTGCAGTTGGCCGGGATTCATGGCTCCGCTGGTGGTGGTGGTGGTGGGCCACATGGCTCTGGTGGTGGTGGCGGGTCACGGGAGGACGAGGGGTTGTAAGTGTTGAGAAGGTGAGTAATTCCCATTTTCATGTCTCTTCTTTTGCTCCATTCATGTAAAAAAAGGTGTAGTTTCTTTGATGCAACTAAGAACTCTACTGACTGTAATGGTGTCAAAATGTCTATCATACCCTTGAGGGTACTCAGCCTCAGCTTGTCTGCTTCTATCAGGACATTATATATATCAAGGGCATGCCTGTCCATTGCTTTATCCACCACCTCATCTCTACCCGTCTCCCCTGCTTCTCGATGGTCGTTTGCCAGCAACACCAGTGGCGCATCGGCTATCATCTCCTGCGTATAACAATATATCAAATTTCACTTCCTGTAATCCTTAAGCCACACATGGCCCCGTATTCAAACACTACAACAAAATCAGCTTTATAAGACGTCAAATATGTATGAATATCATAATAGACTGTCGTATATGACTTGGGGCATGTTTGATTGCAGCTTAATAGGATTCACATCTTAGGGGCTGTTTGGTTCGTTTTCTATTAAGACCTATAAATAAGTCTGTTATGATATTTAGACATACCTGACATTCTATAAAAACGATTTTGTTGTATATAAAGATTCATTATTGAGTTATAGTGTATGCCTGTAAGCTTGCCATACGAGAAGAGAGCTTATCTTCGTCCTTCATAGTTTTGGCCTGTAGATCATCTATGCTTTTGAGCTGAGAACTCGAGATTTCTCCGAGGTTTCCATGTCTGATTCCTTCAAGAAACTCTTCAAAATGGGCATTTAGCTGGGACCCACATAAGGCGTAAACGATTCGGATGATTAGGGACGGCCTGCAACCACCGATCCAAAGGAACGAGTTCTCGAAGGTGCTTCCCCATGTCGGAGCCAGGAACGAAGGGCTGTCGTGCTTGGCCAGTTCGGCTCGAGCATGGCTGTAGTTTTCAAAGTGGTTGATGATTTTGTTGGTTATTAGTTTGAGGTAATCGGGGTCGGTCCAGTAGTGGGTGAGTGTCTGGAGCAATTCATCGAGGTCGAGACGCTGCTGAGCCACCCAGTTGTGGTAGCAGCATTGGAATTGTTGGTGTTTCATCTGTTTCGCCATGTTTTCACGACTCTCTTGACTGCCCCACACACACACTGCCTACCTTATGGAGAAGAAATGGGTATATACACACACACATACATGTATATATACATATATAGAGAGAGAGAGGAGGGGGGGGGGTTGGCTAAAAAAATTGAAAAACTGATAGAATGGTCTCATGTAACAATTCATCCGGACGGTATACGTGTATATACAAGTAATTGAAGTTGTTTTTTTAGCTTTTATGTACATACCTGACAAATTGCTTAGAAATCACTTGTATGAACCGTTGCCAAAATGTTTCTCAGTTTTTCATTTTCTTTTTTCGATTTTTCTCTGAATCTAATCCTATATATACATATAGATAGATACATATATAGATAGATACAGAGCAAAAAGGGAATGTAAAAGTGGGAGAAAAAGGCCAAAGAGAGGAAGATCCAAATCCAATTGAGCCCACAGTTGCTGCTCCCACTTAGCAGACATGTAAACTTTCCTTTTATGGGAAGTTTTCTGGGCACCTTGTATATAATTAGTATAAAATATCTTGTAATAAAAACAAAATCAATATTATTTAACATAAAAGGCATCTCTCTCAAGTCCCAACCAAAAAAATTGATGAATTTGAATTAAAATTGAATTTTGGACCTCTTGATGAGGACAAAAGCGTGTAATTAATAATGTGACATTTGACGTTTTATGCGGTTGTTTTAAGCGATGGACTCTTCTAGAAGAAATCTAACGGAGTTCCAGACATTTTTATAAAAACGTCAATCAAATATGATCTTGAAACTTTTCATATTTCTCGCTTAATCCTACCTTTCTGAGTCTCTTTCTTTCTCTCCATCTCTATGTATGTGTGTGTGTGTATATATATATATGGGTTAAATTAAATGAGAACCACAAATATTCAATTTATCAAATCATTATCATATTATTATCATGACAAAATCAAATATCATAGTATTATCACATAATTATCGACGATGGATATATCCACATAAAAAGTCTCTTATGGTAATCAAAATTTAAGAAATAAAGATAAATCTAGGATAACAGAAAATTATTGATAAATACTAATTTATTTTTTATATGTGTTAATTAATTTTTATTTATTCTATTTTTTTATTATATGTTAATTAATTTGGAGATCAAAATGTAGTTTAATTTTCGTAAAACAAGGATGTTGTATTGGACCCTTCCCCGTGTGTGTATATATATATATATATATATATATATATATATATATTATATTATATTATATTTCAAATGCAATCATTTTCATTTGTACAATCAATGCAATCTAATTAAGTGAGATATTTATAAAAATGATAAGAGCTCATTTATTATAATTTGAATATTTATGGAAGATGACTAGAGTTCATTAATTATGATCAATATTTTATATTAGGAAATAATGAAAACTTTTATGAAATCACATATTATCAAATTAAATGGACGGTTGAGGTTGAGTTGTATTAGTTGTACAAATGTAAAGGATTGCATAATAACTCACCTCTCTCTCTCTCTCTCTCTCTCTATATATATATATATATATATAACCTTTTACATTTGTACAACCAATACAACACAATCTCAACCATCCATTTAATTTGATGAATATGTGATTCTATAGAAGTTTTGATTGTTTTCTAATATAAAGTATTGATCATAATTAATGAACCTTATTCATCTTCCATAAATATTCAAATCATAATGAATAAACTCTCATCATTTCTATAAATATCTCAATCAATTGGGTTGCATTGGTTGTACAAATGGACATGGTTGCATTTGAAATATACCCTATAAGAGAGAGAGACTTGGGATCATGTGAGACCAATGGTTTTTCATGAGACCCGTAAGACCAATTCTCAACCTTGGATTAGATTTACAATCGTCAGATCTGAACATTCATAAACGCCATGAGACTTCTCAATAATTACAAAATTGTCACCTTGCAACTTTAGACCATTAGATCATTAGTTTAGAAAGTTGATCAATGAACATAAATTGGTCTTGCGGGTCTCACGAAAAAACCATGGTCTCACGTGAATCCAACCCTATATATATATATATATATATATATATATATGGTTGGGTTCATGTGAGACCCAGGGTTTTTCGTGAGACCCGTAAGACTAATTTATGTTCATTGATCAACTTTAAAAGCTAGTGATCTAATGGTCTAAAGTTGCACGGTGGCAATTTTGTGCTTATTGAAAAGTCTCGCGACAATTTTGTGATTATAAATGTTCAGTTTATAGATCTAATCCAAGGGTTGAGAATTGGTCTTACAGGTCTTACGAAACCCTAGTTATCATATGATCCCACGTCTATATATATAGAGGAGTGATCAAATAAAAACCGCCCTCATTTGTGTAAACCGTGCAAACCACCTTCATC